ACTTCCTCAATGTGTAAAACGCGAAAAAACTTTATTAATAAGAACAAAAATTTGTAATAGTAAACAGTGTATTTTATTATAAAGGATTTTCGTTTTTCTACTGCTCCGTAGTTCGTGTGCTCCGTGCTCCGTGTGCTCCGTGCTCCGTGTGCTCCGTGCTCCGTGTGCTCCGTGCTCCGTACTCCGTGCTCCGTGCTCCGTGTGCTCCGTGCTCCGTGTTTTACTAATAGCCGAACTGCTACGAGGGCTTGTAGTCGTTCAAGCATGAAATTTATACGCCAAACGTAAACTTCAAACGACAAATCTTGATTTACTGCTTTGGTGAATACATGACTAGTGGTTCATTTGCTTTCTTAAATCATTGTTAAATACCACAAGTTTAATAATTGTTTAACATATTCAAAATTGGTGTAAAAGCTATTATAATAGAGTGGTAAAATCAAAAACTTCGCTAGCGGTTTGACGTTTGCCGTAAACGTCAATCTTAAGGTGTCTACTATCTGACGTAAACGTACGTCAATCTTAAGGCTGATTTCCACTGTTGCGTTTTTCATACGTACGTATACGCACGTAAAACTTTAAATCCGTTTAAATGTTACTTATCAAATAACCAAACAAATAAAGCAACAGAATTTAGTGTTCCGCAAGTTTTAGTATGTATTTGTTAACTTATTTGCAAAATGTTTAAAAAATAGAAGGATTCAAAGTTTTACGTGCGTGTACGTGCGTACGAAAAACGCAACAGTGGAAATCAGCCTTTAGGCCAAGCTTTCTAATATCACCCCGCGATGTCACAACTTAGCTCAACGTACTTCAGTGATTTTTTCAACCGACGCCGACTTAACCTCTCGTGGAATTGTTTCATCGACAAAATACCCGGTACCACAGACTATATGTACCCCAGACGATTTCGATATATTCACCATTTTGGCAACATCTCGATTTATTCCGATCACAGTATTTTCTACTACGGTCATTCCGCCAGTAAGCTTGAAAATCTTTAGATCTGCGATCACTGCTTCTTGCTCATTGTACATGCTGACATTCACTTTACTTTTATAAAGATTATGTCGTAACCAGTTGAGGTTTTGCATCGTAATAGGAGCGGTGTATCTCTCCCTTTCTTCGTCAGTTGCTGGAGGTGTAGAATAGTAACTCGCGTCCATAACTAGATGTTCATGAGGCAAAGTTATACCCAAGTCTTTGGCGTCTATAGCTCCTAAGACGGTTTCAACTTGTGATTTCACCATGTTGCCGTACTCAGCTGTATTTTAAACTTTTAAAAAGTATTAAGTGTGACTGAACACAAAGTAGCAACTACAAACAGTAACTAAGCCACAGCCTGAAGCTTCGAAGATAAAACAATGTTGGATTTAATTTGTAAACCATCATCTATGCCCGTGGTGTAATTATCCGGTTAAGCCGGTTACACCCACGAGAAAACATTGAGAAACCAGATGGGGGGTTTTCCAGTGGCCAACCTTCGCTGACCTTGATCACCTGTTATAATACATAATACCGATATACTCAAAGGAAATCATGAAACATGCATCGCGTTTGGATCCGATTTCGAGTTGGACTTCAATCTAAATTCGAGTCCGATTCTTGCTTTTTCTTCAAACACAACTTTTAAATACATTATTTTAAATCTTTAATTACTTGCATATTTTCTATTCATATCGCTTTTATTCGCTCGATCTGGCCAATGTCCAGACACCAGCTGTGGTTTCCCCTTGAGTACTATTTTTGAGAAGTTAGCATGTAACAAAGTAAAGTTTTTGTGGAGTACTTTTACTTGGAACGAAGTCGTTTTCAGAGTAACGTTTTACTTCGTTATTTTCATTTTCGGTGACGAAGTATTTCGTTACTTTCTCACATTTGTTTAATTTTACGTGATTTATTCCGGATTTATTTTAATTTTGGGATAAGTAATAGGACGTCTACATATAAGCATTATTTATTTTATGGATTTCTTGATCTTCAACGGGGTCTGGAAAGTAAACCATGCCGTGAAATATTGTATCAGTTATGGTGCACGCATGTAATGCATGTGCTGTTTTGTGTCTTTCGTGTGTCAATCCATCCTCGTTCCCAGGGCTTCTCGGCTGCCTGCGTTGCCGTAAGCCCTGGGACAAGTAGCCTGCTCACAGGCTCTATTATATAGAGCCTGCGACTTTTATTGATATTTTTTCAATACGCCCCCTTTGAGATAATTGAATATCCGGTAAATAATAGCCAATCAAAGCAAGTTTTGTTAATTAGATTACCAGAGGTTATTAACAACAACAAACAGTTTCTCGCGCAATTTTACGCCTGTATCTTTCACTAGAATTCCAAAGTCTAAACTTTAATCTAAAATAATTCATGGTCGTTTTTTCCCTAAAGTGTTCTAATATTTAAAACATAGTCCCGTTTGTATATTGCTGTCTTGTTCGTACATTGCCGTTTTAAATTATGTAACTATACTACAGAGACGTAAACTTTTACTCTCCATTTATATCCAAAAAACGTATTTAGGTTTTGAACAAAGTAACAAACACTATTTATTAAAAGTGTCGAACAATAGCAGGCTAAAAAACAACATTAATCATTATTGCGTGAAGTCTGTCATTTGCTCAACTGATAATACAATTAACTCAATAGACAATAGACAATTTGAAAACCCGTGGCCGTGGCATCGATTCTGCCGTGTTTAATAACTACATTTTTTGGTAAAAAGCTCTTGTTATAATAATATGTGTCACTAGTTGAGACTCCCAAAAATAAAGTCTCGAAGAGAGAGCGGACTTCGGTCAAAAACACGCAAACGACTATTGCAAAATTTCCAGGTGTAAATTCAAATTGGCCAGGTGTTCTAAGAACGACTTTCCTCGACGGCGTCTGTTTTAATAATTTGCTCATTGTCTCGACTTATTCAAGACCAGATTGTTTAGGCAGAAAGCCTTGGGGTTGACAGGGAAGTATTTGGGAGAAATGTTCGGAGGCATTTGACAATCAACTGCTTTATACTAGCTGATTCACTGCCTGTGTCGACTCAACGAACGTCTCGCTGGGCTAACCTTAAGTTGTTCACTTCAACGTTTGAAACCGCAAGTGATGCAAACGCAGTTAGATAAATTGTCAGCCTGAACTAGCCTTATTTTACTCTCTCTGCAAAGATCAGCAAGGCATACATCGAAGTTTTCCCTTGTACTTCTTTGGAAAAGGTTTATTATTATAGCAGACGAAGACAAAGTATCGGTATATTACATGTAAACTTTTATCAAATCCCGTTGGAAGTACAGTTAATATTGCTAACCTTCGCTCATCCCAGCCTAGTTCCTGCCTCCTGGCCTTCTCGCTTCCGCCTCATTATTTTAGGGGGAAATCAACAAGGTTTGCAGGTTGACCGGGATAAAGTAACTCGCCCGCGCTTGGAAGGCCAGGGACTAGGCTGACAAATTCTGGTGTTTTCCGGAAGTAAACGTGCTCTGCTGCAGCTAAAAAATGCTGACTGTGCATTAATTTTTACTGAGGAGTGGAGACGTGTTGGCGAGAAGAAAATATTGGATTTTTCTTTTGTTTCGATGTATTTTCCACCATCAAGGGAATATGTGCAGACCACCTAATGGAATTATACATATTGGGGTTTTATATTTCGTTATATCGTTAATATGCGTCAAAATACAACCATATTTCGGTCTCGTATTACATGTATCAATTTTCATGTGTGATGTAAACATGATCGAGTCGAAATGTGCTCGAAGTGGTTTGATTCGAAACATCATGGGTTCTTGTACAGATCCTGTTTCAACACGCGCTTGTAAAGTCACCTCAAAGATTGGACAAAGCTGGACTGGAAATTAAAGAGAAGTAATTCGAAGCTTTATCGTCTATCGTATGTTGTATAAAGGAACAAGAACGACATGTGACATGTCTAAACGGCGGTGTGTGTCTGTTTACTGGGTTTAATACAACAACTGCAATAACAATGAATCACCTAACATTTCAAGAAAATATAAATTATAGATAGATGTCATGCATGACCCCATGAGTTTTGGATTTGAATTGCTAGATTTAAATCTATATTATATGTATATACAAAATCATGCGTGCGTAAATTGGAGCAAAAAAACACAAGGTGTTTGTTTGGCCATATGCCCATCATGTAGTATGAATATTGAACACCGTTTTATATAGCACGTTTAAAACGTTATTTCCATGCCGGATAATTCTGAATCCTTCACAGATTACATGCGTGGCAAATGAAGAAAAATAATTATGTAAAATAATTAACCTAATATGTCTTTAGCCCTGAATGCAACTCACTATGCTGCTTTATACATCTGACAGTCAAAACTATGTGCATGACTGTATGGCCCAATGTATGTTAATTGTTTCAGGGAAATTTTTGTTTTCAGATTAAAGTATAGCAATATTTTCTGCATTCCAATATATTTTCTACATGCAAGTGTGCCTTCTGTTTCAGATAGGGGTCAAATCATTTGAGGCCAAATGGGATAGCCAATGATTGGAGGGTAATGTTAGCAAATTTGACTCCCTTATATAATGTCAAGTTATCACTGGTCAATTTTTAAATTTCGTACAATTTCACATCAGGGAGTTCATTGCCCCCTCATTATCCAGAAGTGTGACTAAGCCTTTTCTAGTATCTATCCAGGTGTCCAATATAAATCTCCACCACAACAGGATGTATACCTGAGTGATGGTATAAAGGGAGGTGGGGTTAAAATTCTGATTTATCAACATATTACTACACATTTCCACATTAAAAATATGAAAAGTTTTCCAGTTCAATATATCTATAGCAGGAGGCTTAAACCAGAATTTCAGAATACAAAGCAACTTTTATGTCATTTTTGTAATGGTTTGTTTAAAATCAATTTTTATACAGACATGGTAGGGTGTCTCCTGGCTAGAAGCCTGCATTTACATATACAAATTTTCAGTTTTGTCAATAATAATAGTTTTATTTTATAATTTCAATTCTTACAAGATTTGCAATAAGTCAACAGAATAAGTATTCTATTCTGAACTGTTGACAGGAAACAGTGTAAATTCATGATCTCATCCAATATGACACAAGAATTCGAGACCCCCACCTCGGGCATACCAGGGGTTAATTTGGTGTGTGAAATTCAGTGAAGTCCCCTGCAGCCAGGGCAAAATGGCAAGGTAAATTTCTTCGGTCCTATCATCCCCAGGTATTCAATTGGAATTTTTACTTGAAATTTCCCAAACCATTCC